GACTGACTGAACTCTTTGAAGGCAAGGACTGTTGTTTTTTTTAAATTTTTTTTTCTGTTTTTCTCATCTTTCTGTTCCTAACGCCTAGCACAGTGCTTGGCACATAGCATTAATAAATGGCACGTAGTACTTAATAAATATTTGCTGAACTAAATTACATTGAAGTTTGATGTTGAAGACTTTTGGACTAGCTATTCTGCCCAGAGCCACTGTTATGGTTGTTCAGTTGTTTCAGCCATGTCTGTGACCTCATTTGGTGTTTTCTTGGTTTGCCATTTCCTTCTGCAGCTCATTTTATAGACGAGGAAACTGCGGCTGAATAGAGTGAAGTGACTTGCCCAGGGCTGAGTAGCTAGTAAGTGTCTGAGGTCAGATTTGAACTCAGAAAGATGAGTCTTCCTGATTCCAGGCCTGGTGCTCTATGCATTATGGCACCACCCTAGCTGCCCTGTATGTCCCTAATTTTCAGCCAAAGCATTATTTCCTTGCCAGATCGGTAAACCGACACTTTTGGATCCCAATGTAAATCAGTTGTTGAGCTAACACCATAGAATACAGACAAGTGTTCCAGCTTTAGATAATAGATTGCTATGCAGGGCTTTGGAAGCTGCTCCTAGTTATAGCAAAGTTTTTATTCCAGGAGAAGCTGATGTTTCTACTTAGGCTCTTTGAGTTGCTACACATAGGCAAGGCTTGCTAAGTTAGTCCATTAATTGTCTTAATGGTAATTACATGCTTGAGGCTAGGCCATCCAACAGTATCCCTCGGAAAGTGAAGAACAAGGGACCTGGAGAAAGGAGGTGGGGGGTGGGGGAGAGTCTGGAGACAGTGAAATCCTTTTAATGGCAAAGCTATGCTGTTAACCTAATTAAACCTTAAGATGATTAAAAAAACCCTCAGGTACTAAATGGCGACAAGGGAATCCATCAGCGGGGACAGTAACATTTCTGGGAAATCCCAGTGCCAAATGACTCTTGCTTGATTCGGTTTCCTTGAGGATAAATGAATGACACCTACCTGTTCTGCTTAGCTCTTAGGGTGGTTGTGAGAGCAGACCAGATAACACACGTGAAAGCGCTTTGATATTCACAAAGCAACCCAGTGAGTGGGATGTATCTCAATTATATTCAATTTCCTTTTCTCCTGTAGTATGGCAGTGAACAATCCTTCCACACCATCACCTACAGACCCTAAGGTCTGTAGCTTTCTACGCATGTCTGGGGAAACATAGACTGAGCATACATACCCTTGCCTTGACATCAGAGGCATCTCTTTTGGAGGCTGAAGATGAGAGATGGCATGATACAATAGAAAGAGGCGGTGGTGGTCAAAGGACCTGGGATCAACTCCCACCTTTGACACCTGCTATCTGTGTGACCTTGGGCAAGTCACCTACTTCTCTGGGCCTCATTTTCCTCAGTTATAAAAATGAGAGAATTGGGACTAGTCAGTGATAACAATAGTTAAAGTTTACATAGTATGTTAATGTTTACAAAGCCCTTTTACATATGCTATCTCACTTGATACAATAACCCTGAGAAGTCCCTTCCAGCTCCAAATTTTTGATTTGGGGTTATATGGTTATATCTACTCTAGCACCCTATAGATTCTCCATGAAAGACTTATGATACACAAATAACATTTTCTTAGCTAAGAGACTGATTGCTTACAGAGACCCCTTTCAGTTGGGAGGCACAATCCTGCACTATTAATTGCTGAGATAAAAACAGGCTTTTAGGGCAGAGAGGTTGGAAAATCTTGGAGATCATTTACTCAAGGTAGTTTACATTCCCTGTGGAGTCATAGATCAGATTCCTACTCTGGCTACTATCACATGGAACTCCTGCACTAGCCTGCTGAGCTCTCTTTGAGAAGGATGCCATTTGGTTTGAGAAGGCTTCCATCTGTACCTTCATCTAAGTCACAGAAGGAAATGTTAACATCAAGACCAAGTAAAATACCCTGAAGCATTTCACTCTAGAGATTCCCTTCCAAACAGACATCAAGCTTGACTTGATCAACCATGGCTCCTCTTTGGATCCAGCCATTGAAATATCTTTGGACCCATGTAACTTTACTATTGAATAGTTCACACTGCTCTGTGGTGCCCAAAGGATGTCGTGGTAGCATTTGGTAAGTGCTATGCTAACGTCCAGGGAAACTATATGCATAGCATTCTTTTGCTCTAGCAGAGGAAGTGAGTAGTTAGAGGTTTGATTTAAATCTAGGCCCCCTAATCCAAATTTAGTTCTAGCTTGACTACACCACCCTGTTTAACTGCTTTATGGATCTCATCGATCCATGGAATATCACATGCTAATTGTGCCAGATTGAGTAACCTTGACTCTAACAAAAAACCAGCCTGGAGGGGTTCAGAGTTAGGCTTCAGTGGAGCCAACATATACGAGTTTTGACATACTTTATATTAACAGTCACTGAGTTATGACAATTAAGGTCATGGGGGCAGTTTCTTAATCTGACAAATGAGGGGGTTGGCCTAGATCTCTAAAATCTGTGACAGTTATAGCTTTCTGGGATTTTAAGCCTGTTCTCAAATGGTTGAAAAAGTGTTTCTTTGCTAGATTGGAAAATAGGCATTTCTAGGTTTCCAAATAAATCATTTGAGTTAAAAACATAACCAGTTTTCCCTAATGAACAAATTGTAAATAGGATTTTAATCTCATGAGTAAGAACAAAAGTGAGGAAAACAAGGAGGCTGCATTCAAGGAACTTCAGTTTTATGAAGTCAATGGGTCAGTCAGTCAACAAGAAATGATTAAGCCCTTACTATGTGCCTGGCTCTTCATACAAAGAAAAGGGCAAAAACACTGTCCCTGCCCTCAGGGAGTTTGTAATCTGATGGAAAAGACAATATGCAAATCATTAGCTTCATATGACAGCTTATTTTACAGATGAGGAAATTGAAGCAAACAGGTTAAGTGACTTGCCCAGGGTCACATAGTTAATAAGTGTCTGAGGCCGGATTTGAACTCAGGAAGATGAGCCTTCCTGACTCCAGGCCCAGTGCTCTATCCACCGTGCCACCTAGCTGCCCATGTACAATATAGATGTAGTGTAAATATAGGTACTGTCAGAAGGAAGGCACTAGTAGCTGGGAGGAGAGGAGGGACGACGACCAGGAAGGATCTTATGTAGAAGGTGGATTTTGAGTTTTGAAGGAAGCCAAGAGGTAGAGGTGTGGGCACAGTGTGTTAGGTCCCTACTGCGAACAACCTCACATTTGCAAGTTTCCAATAAATCTCATCATCTGCTTATACTTTTTGCCTTTAGAAGTTTGGAGCTATGTAGTAAACTTTCTGATAGTAGAGAAAAACAAATGGAGTAATATAGAATCACAGAATGTTAGTGTTGGGAAGGACATGTCTTAGAGATTTTGAAGTCAAATCCTTTTTAAATATGGAGAAATTGAGACTGAGACGGAAAGTTTGACAGATAGTAACCGAACTGGAAATCAGGCCTCCTAGTTCCCAGTCCAATATTCTTTCCACTGTACTAGAAGGTGCTGAAAAATACATGAAGAAGGGAGAATAATTGAGTGGTGACTCTGATACTATAGTGTCGATAAGCAGCAAAAGTTGGGTTTGCTTATGTTCTGTCAGCTAGAAAGTCCTATAACCAGCACTTCTAGGTGCATTGGTGATACACTGTTCCTCATAATGATGACCTCAAGGCACTGTCAGATCATAAAGGGTCTTCTGAATCATCAGAGAAGGATTGAGTTAGGTTTGGCATGTTTTTGGTATTTAGTATATTTGATTGTATCCTAAAATTTAGAATGTGGCCTACAGGCTACATGGGGTCCATACTATTCAGCCACGGTCTGACACAGTGTACCTTGACTCCAATGTAGTGATGCCATTTTGGCCCTCCTTTACAATGAAGGACCACAGCCAACCAACCAGTAAACTGACCACTGTCATTTCAGTTGTGTCTGACTCTTCATGACCCCATTTGGGGGTTTTCTTGGCAGAGATACTGGAGTGGTTTGCTATTTCCTTCTCCAGCTCATTTGACAGATGAGGAAACTGAGGCAAACAGCATTAGGTGACTTGGCCAGGGTCACACAGCCAGGAAGTGACTGAGGCCAGATTGGAACTCAGAAGGATGAGTTTTTCCAACATTCTGGCCTGGCTCTCCATCCACTGAGCCACTTAGCTGCCCATAACACTCCTGAGTGAGGTCCAAATCAGGTTAAAATGAAATTGGGAAATAATTAAATAAATAAAAATATAAAAAACACAGGTAAGGTTAACATGTTTTCTAAGTCAATATGTACACTTTGGTGCCTCCCATTTCTATTTGAGGTTGATGCTACTGTTCTAAATGATTTGTACATGGGCAGTTCACAGATGGAATACATGTACATGCAGTACGTGTCAAGGGGCAGACATATAGGCAATATGGTTGATTTCCAGTGGCACACAGAGCAGTTGCCTCTTATGTCCTGACTCCTTACCAATTTACAAACCTACAAACCCAATTCCAAATGAAAGAACTAGTGGCCCTTCCAGCTCTGGGAAGTTAGAACGTGCTCACTCTCTTCCCAGGTTACAAGTTAATAGTATCATTCAGTTAGTGGCCAACCAGTCTCTGCTTCCCCATTTTCCCATCCAATACCCCTTCCATCCCAAACACTGAGAGTCAGTAGCAATCAGTTTCCATCCCCAATAGGACAAAAAGAAGATGGAATTGTCTATCCCTTTTAAAAGGATATGAACCCCTGGCATATAGTGTCACATAAACGGTATATATGATTCACTCCCTCTTGACTCCAATAGTTGATTAATCCAAACACTTTACTTCTCAACCATGATGAACAGGAAAGCATTTACTATACTTGAGATACTTCCCAACTACGATAGACCAGAGAGCACTTACTATATACTTATGATTTTATTTATTATATACTTGTGATTGAGATTGTTGAATTATGAAGAAAAAGCTCAAAACGAAATGAGGCCATACCTTTAGGTCCTTACCGTATTCGTCACTAGACTTAGGTCTTCTTTGGTGGTCTGCAACTCTTCTTTTATTTTAATCATGTTCTGAGTCTTGTCTTGTACCTGAAAAAAGCCCATGATCTGAGATAAGAAAATTACAAATGAATTGTTCGCCGAGGGCTTTTAGGTTTTCTTTCTCTCATCTGGATCTAGGTTTCAAGAACGGGGTTTGGAAACACCTGAATTTTTCAGTATACTTATCAGTCCATCTGTTCATGCTTTTTATAGCATCAGCTGCCACTGAATCTTTGCGTTTATGGGTCACATTAAGCACTACCCCCCCCCCGGCCGTACAAAGTCCTTAATGTAAATTATCTCATTTGCTCCTCTTTATCTTCTGGGGTAAATTATTCAATTATTATTACATCCAGTTTGAGGATGAGAATATCAAGTCTCAGACAGATTCAATAGTTTGCTCAAGGTCACACCCTTGGTAAAGGCCTGTGCTGAGACTAGAACTTAGAAAGATATTTGGACCCTAACTCCAGTGCACTTTCTGCTATGTAGTACTGTCTCCCTACAAATTACATTTACAGTTTCTGAGACCAGACGAAATTTCCACTAGACACTTACCAATGAGATCAGTTCCAGAAGTGAGACCTAATAGAATATTCTCCCTATGAAAAAAACAAACCCTCACATCACCTACACTCTCACATAGACTGAGAGGGGTAAAGAATGTTGGTGATTCTGAGCTAAACAGCTGGAATTTAGAATGTTTTCTGAAGTTGGGTTCTGATCAGCAGCATTGTCTTCCCATCATGAGAAGCAGATGCATTATGGGATGGGAGGGTAACTTTTGCCTGCCCAAAGGCTAGATGAAAGATAAGTACAGTGGTGTAGAAGGAGAATTTGGACAGAAATGAAGAAACCTAGATTTCAAACTGATGCCTGCCCAATGTACGTGGATAGTTGTTTTCTCATATCCATCAGCTCCTTAATGTGTTCTTCACTTTGTGACAGCCATGCCCCAGGGGGAAAAACTCCCATAGAATCTTAGCAAAAATCTTTTAAAAATCTAGTTAGCAATACAGTGATGTCTAATGACCTTCCAGGTTAGTCTCTTTTGTTTATCAAGATGTCTCTAGGGCTCCAAGGACAGTGTCTGGGAAGCTGTCATAGGGATGAGCTTAGGATTTGCTGTGCTCAGCAAACAGAAGGTGTACACGAGGATGTCTTCGTCAAGAGACCTAAGTTCTGGTCTTGATGCTGCTACTAACTAGATGTGTTCACTTCTCTTTGAGCCTTAATTTCCTCTTTTGTAAAATGACAGGGTGAGACCCCTGTGGTCCCTTCCTGCTCTGCCATTCTTTGATTCATTCTGAGTCCTGACTGCTTGAGCTGCCTATGAGAGAATCTTTGTGGAAAACTGACAGGAGGTACACTGGAGTCACCATTTCCTATCTGTGATCCATTGTCTGATCATAGAAAACCAGACCATGGATTGGAAACTTTCTTGGTGAGACTTGGTGAGGATAGTATAATGCCTTAGGAAGTACTCTCACCATTGGTTAGGTGAGTCTTCTTTTTCCATAGGGATACATCTACTGCATCAACTAGATGTTCTATCTACAGGTAGGGGGCATACGTAGAGATGTATGCTCAAGATTTCCTCCAAGCTCTTTTCTGTAGTATGAGCTGTCCTCTTACTTGGCAAGAAATACTAATACTTATGTTGTTGTTGAGTTGCGTTTGACTTTTCATGACCCTGTGGACCATACTGTCCATGGAGTTTTCTTGGTAAAGATATTTGGAGTGGTTTGCCATTTCTTTTTCCAGTAGATTAAGGCAAACAGAGGTTAAGTGACTTGCCCAGGGCCACACATCCAGTAAGTATCTGAGGCCAGATTTGAACTTAGGTCCTTCTGACTCTAGGTCCGATGCTTTATCCATTGAGCCACCTAGCTCTCATAATAATGATGACAGTATTTATATGGCATCCGCTATGTGTAAGGCACTGTGCTAGGTGCTTTACAAATATTATCATATTTGATCCTCACAACAACTTGGGAGGTAGGTGATGTCATTATCCCCATTTCACGGTTGAGGAGACTCAGGCAGACAGAGGTTAAGTGACTTGCCCAGGGTCACACAGCTAGTAAGTGTCTAAGGCTTAATTTGAACTAAGGTTTTCCTGACTCCTGGCCCAGCGCTCTATCCACTGTGCCACCTAGCCGATCTCTCTATAGAAATAATAGAGACTACAAGTCTAGAGCTATAAGCCAGTCCAACTCCCACATTTTACAGATGAGGAAACTGAGGCCTGGAGAGGTTATGTGATTTGTCTAAGGTCACATAAGTTTTAGAACTCAAACCCAAGACTTGTGATTCCAGAGTCAGTGTTCTTTCCGCTGTATTCTGATTACATTGCCCTAACACACTTACACGGGAGGGGAGGTTCCTAGCAGGTCCTAATCTCTCCAATATCCTGGGTAGAATCTAGCCAACACGTGTTAAAGAAAGCACCTCCTTCTCTGACCTCTGACAGTCTCACCTTTTGTTAAGATTCTTCTTACCTTCTTGCTATGCTGTACTTAAAGGCTCTACCTGTAGCATGTTCCCCTCCTCCGGGATCCTTGGCTCCATCCCAGAACCTCTCTGAGAGTTTCTCTCCTCCTGGTAGGTTTCTTTCTCTTGCACGGCATACTGAAGCACATTTGGAGACTGTCGGAGCTGTCTAGGCAGCTGGTTCAGCTCGCCTTCTTTCCTGAGTAGATCTTCTTTGAGTGATTCAAATTCCTCTGGCATAGCTACAGGGGAGAAAAACAGGACAGATTCCCCGCCCTTCTGTCACACTTATTCTCAAGGGTCAGAGGGAATGACTTGGATGACCGCCCCCCTACAGAGGCTCTAACTTGGAAATATCTGTCTGTCTTTAGACTTGGAACCCTAAATGGATATAAGGCCTGTTCTCTACATGGCTGCCTGGATGTCTTTAAAAACCCTGGTGCAATACTTAATGGCATTACCTAATGATTCTTCCCTTTGCTAATGCTGTACATTAGGATTGTACAGCCCCTGTTGAACCCTAAATCAACAGACAATAAACAATAGACGGGGTGGAAGAGCATTTGATTAGGAGGGCCCCCAGTCTTCTTGTTTAAAAAGTTGATGATAAGGAAGAGCCTGGTTTCAATCATGAAATAAAACCTCAGCCCACAAGAAAGGAAAGGAGAAGGAGAGGGAGAGAGGAGAAAGGCAGGAAGGCACAGCTCAGATGGCCCAGAGAAGGAGAGAGGGAAGCAGGAGTGGAGAAGGCCAAAAGCAGTTCCTCACTCAGCACCGGTGCAAAGCAAAGGTTCAGCATACAGCGAGGGAAAGGCTAGCCACTTCCCACAGTGGATAATGGTGAGGGGCCAAACCTCTCTTCGAAGCTCATTCAGCCTCTCACAGAGTAACTTCCTTTCTCTCTCTGAATCCTGGCTTTCCTTTCCTTTGAGAAGAATGGTGGACAGGATTTGGTCTTGGGACACTTGAGATGCGTTTAAATCTTCCTTCAGCCGCTCGATGGCATTTTCATAGAACGTGCCCTACAGGAAGACACAAAGGACAGTTGGAGACCTTGGAGAACCCTCTTCTTCATCACAGGGAGGAGGTGGAAGGCTGGGTCAGGGGGCCAGTGAGCTCAGCTAGGCCGGGTGCCTGACCCAACTTTAGTGTCCTCCTCAGACACACAGGCACATACACACACAACCTTCTTAGCCCCCTTCCCCCACGTATATACACAGAGACACATAATACAGATGCACACATGCACACACAGAGACAAATGAACACACAGACACGTACACATACACATTCCCCTCATGTATGCACACAAATATACAAATAGATTCACAGACACATACACCCAAGACAAATGGACAGACATGTACACATGTATACATATATAACCACATAGACACACATATACACATGTATATACACAGAGATACGTTATACATACACACAGACACATATACACACATATATAGACACACATATACACAAATACATGGACACACACAGATATACACATACACACTCACAGACATACACACCCACACAGACACCCACACAGACACACACACACACACATAACACACAAATAGACATACACATCCCTCAGGACATAACTTCTGTTAAGGATCTAAACTGTGTTTGCCTTCAAGAGTCATGGTTAATTCTAAAAGTCCTCCCTCCCTCCTTTCCCCCTTTCCCCCTTTCCCCCTTTCCCCCTTTCCCCCTTTCCCCTCCCTTCCCTTCCCCTCCCTTCCCTCCCTTCCCTTCCCTTCCCTTCCCTTCCCTTCCCTTCCTTCCCTTCCCTTCCCTTCCCTTCCCTTCCCTTCCCTTCCCCTCCCTCCCCTCCCCTCCCTCCCCTCCCCTCCCCAGCCCACTGGAGAAGATCATTAAATCATGCCGATTTCCACGCATTTACAAATTTACTGCATGTGACCTTAGATGGGCCCTCTGTACCACTCAGCCATCCTCCCACTTTATGCTAATTGATGCCCTTTCTCATCCTCACTGTCAAATTTAATGGAACAATAACAGCATTTTCATATTGAACTGTTTTTGAATTCACTGTTTTCTATACTCACTGAAATTGAGTTTCTTTGATCAATTGTGCTCAAAACCATTTTTTATTCGTAGGCCTTGAACTTGGTGGGGGTAAGCATTCCACCAAGGCAGCTTCTAGCTTCTCTAAGCTCCAGGAGTGTAGAGTTTCTTGAATTGTGGCTAAATAGAAAGTCCTCACTTTATGGCTAGCCTTCTGAGAGCAAGCCCCTCTAAACTGCTCTAGGCCGATTCACAAATGGGCCCAGAAGGGCAGCTAAGTGGCCTAGTGGATAAAACACCAGTCCTGGAGTCAGGAGGACCTGAGTTCAAATTTGCCCTCAGATACTGCCTAGCTGTGTGACCCTGGGCAGTCACTTCAACCTTTTTGCCTCAGTTTCCTCATCTGTAAAATGAGCTAGAGAAGGAAATGGCAAACCACTCCAGTATCTGCTAAGAAAACCCTAAATGGGGTCATGAAGAGTCAGACATGACTGAAAACATGACTAAATAACAACAAAAATAGAGACAGAGGTTAGCTGAAAGTTTTTTTTTAAATGTCAGTGCCCTGTAAAATTTTCACTAGTTCACAGTGTCCAGAATCTCAGAGTAGAAAACAACCTCAAAGGTCCACCAGGTTCCTGAATGCAAAGCTCTCCCTGCCATACCCTGCTCATTCTAGCCTCAACCTGAAGCTCTCTGGTGGTGAGGAAGCCTCCCTAAGGCGTTCGAGTCACCATTTTGGGGCTGCTCTATATGCCGTTTGTTTTATGCTGAATTAGAGTCTGCCCCTCTATAGCTTTCTACCCATGGCTTGATCTTCTGTTCTTGGGCCAAGCAGAATAAGGACAGTTATCCATTTCCACACTGGGATTTTCCCCATCGTGGTTTTGATATATCGTGGGTCAGCATAAGAAATTAAATGAGAATTTTTTGGGAGTTTTGCAGAAGCTGCGGATGACACATGAAGGCCAGCAGATAACACAGAAAATGTTTAGAAACTCAGAAATGCATAAAATTTATGTATGGTATTGTATAATATCAATTTATTTTACCTTTTAATACCATAATAATTAAGACTTCTTCTTTGGTGTGAAGGGAGGGCCAAGAAATTTTACATGGATTTTCCAGATCATGGGGAGCTGTACCCCTTACCCCCACAATGTGGAAGGGACAACTGTAAAATCCTCCAGGATAGCTCTTCAGATACTTGAAGGCTGCTCTCCAGTGGCTCTCACAGATAAGCCTTCAACCAAGCCTTGTGCAGGATTCCCCATCCTGGTTATCTTTCAATGGACCAACTCTGGTTTGTCTTCTGTCCTAAACTGTAACCCCCAAAACTAAACACAATACTTCATTCTATT